TTTTTTTTTTTTTTTTGAGAGAAATGATACCAATTTGGGGTAGATTTTAAAAAAAAAAAATATTGGATAATCACTATTCAAATAAATTGAGCATATATTATACAATTAAAATGGAGCTTATGTTATACGTTAATGGAAACATAAATTTAGTTAATTATATAGATTTATTTATTATCAATAGAATATATTGACTTATTTTAATTATAAAATAAAAATAAAGAGGAAAAAAGTAAATAAAATAAAATTAAAAAAAAATAAAAAGAGAGAGAGAAACCCTCCCTATGGGAATCTCGAAAATTAATGTTTTAGGAGGGGCATCCATAACCTTGAGATGTCCTAATAAGAATATTCAACCATGGTTCGAGCATCTTATATAGACAAACAGAGTAATTTGGATATTTTATTAATCCAAAATTAAGAAAAGCAGTTTTCAAAAATCAAATTTTATTTTCAAGATTTGACAAATTTTAAAAGTATTTTTGAAAAAAGAAAAACTAGACATAGACAAAAGAAAGGACGGGTAAAACTCAACACTTTATTTCTTTCATTTTAAAAGAAAAAAAAGAATACACGTAGGGTTAGGAGATTTAAACTTCTAACCATTCGTTGATAGTATATGCCTAAATCAATTGACCTATGCTCATATTGTCTCACAAGCTCGATTCCTAAAACAAAAAAGAAGAGTCAATTCAAACATAGCTAAATGAGTAAGACACCAATTACATTCAAGAACTCATAGTTTGAGTCTCGATCTTTGTAATAAATGAACTCAACAAATGAAATTAAAAACAAAAATCATCCAAAAATGAGCTTAAAGCACCTATTAATTCTCATTCCATATGGTAAAAAGAAAAAAGTACATAAAGGTATTTCATTATAAGTTGTAGGTGTGATGGAAAGAGGGTTTAATGGTTAGAGCAGCAAAAATGATGAGACACAGAGATTAGTGACACCGCAAGAGGGGCTCATCACTCACTCAGAGGTACTAACAGTGGTTCACAGCGGTCCTGATGCATGTTCCGAGTTTGTGCATTCTTAGCTAATTTGCATCCCCCTATTTACTACTACTACTACCAAGGCTCTAAATGAAGGGTATTCCATTAAATGAACAGCCTCCAAAGTTGGCCAGGATTGATGAGTCCCAACCCACTTGGGGAAGTCCAGCTGTTGCACTTGCAAGGAAGTGCCCTTTTTTCCCTCTTTTGGTGTTATTGCACTGCTAACTGCTAGTGTAGGAAAGAATGTGTTAAATGGAGAGATTTGAGAGATCTCTAATAGGTATTTTTAAGTAATAAGCTGCCCAGCATCAAGTTTGGACTCCTAAACCTACGTTTTAACTTGTCTCAAATGGTATGAGTACTCTAAACACCGGCAAACACGGGCAAGACCTACAAATTCCAATCTTCTTGTTTCAATTCCCTCCGATCACTATATAAGTCATGGGGGAAAAGCTCGTTGTATGATCATAAAAGTAAAACTATAGCGTAGATAAATGAAGTACTACAGTAATACTAGAGATTTTACCACCACGAACACGTGTTCATATCATGCGCTTGCATGTCGTGTTTGCCTATGTCATGAGCTTATGTTTGTGGCTTCCATTCTATAGGTTTCAAGTTAATTAAGAATCCCTCTAATTCAAGCAGTGAAGTAAATGACAGAGTAGTTGTAATCCATGGATTCAAGTCCCTAATAGGTGGCAGTCCCAAGTAATTGGTTTCACCTAAGCCATATAATTGGACTATTCTTAACAAATAAAGGGCAAATAGAATCAGTCTTTATTAAAAATAATTGCCTTAAGTTGGATTTAAAATTGACTCTTGACGGTAAAAAACAGTCCCAATCACAACATTGAAAGTAAGAACATAAATAAGTCTACCATTAGTAGATATTGTCTGCTTTAATCCATTATGTATCACCGTCAATCTAACAATTTTTAAAAAACGTCTATTAGGGAGAGATTTTCACACCTTTAGAAGTAATGTTTCGTTTCCCTCTCCAACCATTGTGGAATCTCACAGTAATATTGGTAATAAGAGTATCCCACTTAACTGCTAAGTGGTTTCATGTGATTTGACAGCTCAAGCAATTAAAAGTAACACATGGAACAGAGGGATGAAGCAGCAAAGGTCAAATCCCACATGCTACCCTTCAGGCATTTCGAGTTAGTCAATTAAAGAAGGATGATTGAAAGGATATGCAATCAAGAGGGGGAGTCCAATTCAAGAATATCACGACATTGATAGTCATTTGACCTAACATCTATCTACAAGCTAGAAAGCAACAGCTTCATGTGCATCTCGCTGGTGTTTGGTTCTAATAACACTTAACTCTACACAAGTGGTACATATAGATGGGACTTAAGACCTCGCAGCCTATCAAGAAGAAAATTTATCCATAAAAAAGAAACTTCAACAACAAAGGTAAATGGTCAAAATTTTGGATTAAATTAAAAGATATCTATTGTTTCTATACGTATCTGCATCAGTTCAAATTTGAATAACTCAACTTTTCCAAAAGTCTAAACTGGCCTATTTTTCCAAAACTGATATCATGGTGTGTCTCTTAAACAATTTAAATGCCGGAAGTGAGTTAACAAGAGACTGCGTATCTGGTATGTGTCAGCAAGGAAAAGTGAAGGCAGAAAACAAGTGCGATCTACTTCTTTTTCTTTGATTTGTTTGACGATGATTGAGAATATGCAGTACCCTGTATTACCAAAGATAAGATTAATATCAGTCAAAGTCAGCAAGGGGGGCGAAACCAAACGACTTCAAATTTAATTACAGGTCAATGAACTGACCTCGAGCCATTCGTCTAATGATGCATCTGAGGCCCTGGTTCCAACTTCAACCTTAGGAGCCCTCTTTGTTTTCTAATAAAATAAAATAAAAAGTATTATAAGATTGATTGGGTGGGGG